TCACATTCTGAAGTTTAGAAAAAGACCAGAGTGATGGTGTTAATTGTTGCTTATGTCTGTTTAATTGTAATAAGAGTTTTTTTTTTTTTCTCTACCAAGCCAAACTAGCAAGACGCAGTCAGGAACGAGACAATCTTGGCATGCTGGTCTGGTCGCCTAATCAAAACCTATCAGAAGCAAAATGTAAGTTTCAGAGCACTTTTATTTTCCACCTTTCTTATTTACTGTACACTTTTAAAGTTACCTTTGTAGCTGAAAGTCTCTACATGTGTTACATTTCTCTTACATTTTTAAAGTAAATGATCTAAAGAGTTTGAAAGTGTGTTCCTTATTGTGAGCCATCATAATGGTTTAAAGGTTCTTCAACTGCGTTTCATATCTACTTTTTATTCAGGGTGCTGTACTAGTTAATATTCTAAAATAACTAGAAGGAAAGGTTCAGAGTGGAAAGAAATTTATACTGCAGAATATAACTCCCTCAGCCGGGAATTTATAGATTTATAAAGATGAAGAGTTTAACAAATTTCTGATTTGAAAGATTGCAAAGTGCAAAAGTGTATTATTGGCAACAAGTTTTATAATGTAGGAGGTCAGCCTCACTGGAAGTAGAACTTTTGAACTGGCCATTTGTTTTATGTGCTTAAAATTTTATTAGAATGAATATTTTCAGCTACCTTGGGTTTTCTTTTAGGGGAGTAGGGTCCTCTAGCTATTAGTAATATTAATTATATTTCCAGAGTTTACTTTTTCAACTTTTCTATCCCCTCTGCTCAAGCGATGCCATTCCAGTCACTTATATCTGACGTGTTGCCTCGAGTCTACTATTTTCAGAGTTTTTGTTTTCTTCATAACTTAAACGAGAGAAGAAAAACTAAATCCCCCTTTTTGAGAATTTTTCAGTGGGGGCGGTCCATAGATGGAATATATGGGGATTTGTGAACTTAGAAGTCATATGCAAAATTTTTTTTGGTGTATGTATGTTTTCGTGGAGAAGATTGGATTTTCAAAGGGCTCCTTGACAAAAATAGGTTAAGAATCAATGCTCTAAAACATAGTAGGACTTACAAAGCCTCATTGGTAAATGCTGGACAGGAAATTAACATTGTCAGTGAAGGCTGGAACTTAGGCTTTGATCAGGATTTCTCAAATTGTGTTTTGCAGTATTAAAACTAGGTGCTAACAGGTTTCCACTTCAAGTAAGTGTTAGAGATGATGCATATTAAATATTCTCTTGTATATTCAACATCTGTGCTTGCATGTATAAGGTGCAAAGGGCTCATATGGTAAAGAAACATGTTTAATTTTGACCAAGAAGGATCCTTTTTAAAAATACAGTAACCTCCATGGAACACAGGAAATTCAACTACTGTTGGTAATGCTAAATTTAGCAATAACAGAATAATCTCAGACCAATCTTACTATCAGAGTATCTTAATTTTGCCTCTATCAGGCTATGGCTTGATGAGTTTATCCAGGAGAACAGACTGTCAGGAGGAAGTGTATTTATTGGCATTTCTGATGCCTTTGCTGTTCTAGGGAAAACCTTTTAAGTATTTCCTATATTTTTGTTTGTTATCTTTCCTTTGAGCACTTACAGTAACTTAAAAAAGCCATCTATTCCATTTTTTAACATGCTGTTCTTTCTAACAAAGAGCTGAGAATCTGCCTCTTGTAATTTTTAAAGCTTTGCTTTCCTGAGCTCTGCTAAGTAGGTCTGCTTCCGTATGAGTCTTCTACATGTTCAGTCATCCTGCCTCCTTTACTGACCCCAGTCCAAGTTAAACCTGCCTAATTGCCTGAAGTGTTTTTCAGATGGTTTGATTTTTGGGTCTCTTTTCATCACTGTTGCACTCCTGGATATATGGTCCATTTGGTCACAGTGCCCACCTTAAATTATGGTGCCCAGAACTGAATGTTAATAGTGAGCATTTCAGATCAAAACCACAACTAGGTACCATCTCACACTGGTATGAATAACCATCATTAAAAAGTCCACAAACAATGAATGCTGAACAGAGGGTGTGGAGAAAAGGGAACTCTCCTCTCCCACACTGTTGGTGGGAGCGTAATTTGGTGCAGCCACTATGGAAAACAGTATGGAGGTTCCTTAAAAAACTAAAAATAGAGCTGCCTTATGATCCAGCAGTCCCACTCCTGGGCATATATCCAGAGAAAACTCTAACTCGAAAAAATAATGCACCCCAATGTTTGTAGCAGCACTATTTGCAATAGCCATGTCATTGAAGCAGCCTAAATGTCCATTGATAGATGAGTGCATAAAGAAGATGTGGTGTGTGTGTGTGTGTGTGTGTGTGTGTGTGTGTACACAGTGGAGTACTACTCAGCCACAAAAAAGAATAAAATAATGCCATTTTCAGGAACATGGATGGATCTAGAGATTATCATACTAAGTGAAGTCAGACAAAGGAAAATACCATATAATGTCACTTATATGTGGAATCTAAAAAAAGGACACAAATGAATTATTTACAAAACAGAAACAGACTCACAGATGTAGAGAACACACTTGTGGTTACCAGGGGGAACAGGGGGAGTAGAGGAATAAATTAGGAGTTCAGGATTTGCAGATACTAACTACTATACATAAAATAGATAAACAACAAGGTCCTACTGTAGAGCACAGGGAACTATATTCAATATCTTATAGTTACCTATAGTGAAAACGAATATGAAAAAATATGTATGTATAACTGAATCTCAGTATACTGTACACCAGAAACTAATACAACATTGTAAATAATTATACTTCAATTAAAAAAAAGAGTAGTGAGCATTTGTTGAGCCTTTATGCCAACCATGTAATAAAATGCTTTCCATGTTCTATGTCATTCAATCTTTACAGTAACCTTGAAGGAAGTTTTTGTCCCCATTTTACAGATGGCATTCCACAATTCAAAGAGGGTTGTGAAACAAACACAGTCAGTGGTGGAGCCAGCAGTGTCAAGTTTGCTGACTCTTCACCCTGGACATGCTCTCAACGTGTCCCTCAGGTTGAGTTCATCAGTCTCCGTCCTTTCTTCATTTCAGTCACTTTCCTTCTGTTACGACAGTTCAAGATTATACTAGTGCCTCTTGCTCTTATTCTGTTACCTGTTGGAATCTTTCAAGTCAGAGTATTATTTTATGTTTTCAAGACCTAGAAGAAAAGAGCAGAATATGAAAAATTAATAGATTTTTTAAATAATGGTTTTGCCTAAAATAGATTTGTAGTTTTAATGTAAGTCTTGCCAGTAGAGATAAAAACTTTATATTCTTAAAACCAATCTACAAGTAACATTTATATATTGTTGAAAGTTCAGAAGACACAGAAGAGTATAAACAAGAGACAGTTCACCCATATTTCTTTATCCAGAGATAGCTATTGTTAAACAATTTGGAGTGTTTTTCCAGTCCTTTTTTCCCTCTGTGCATGTTTATATAAGTGAGATGATGGTATTTCTATATATGTGGGTGTCCATTGTCTTCCTGGACATTGACCTAAGCATTTCTTACCTTGCTAGACCACTAAACAGTGCTGCAGCAAACATTTGAAATAACCATGTAATATTCTATCATATGTATATATCAGTGTATTTAATCATTATTCTATTAAAAATTTAGGTTGTTTCTAATTTGTTGCTATTGTAAAAGAAGGTGGTAGTGAAAAACTGAATCACAGAGCTTTGTTCTCTTTTTCTTTTTGGTTACGTTTTTAGTATTTTCTTAACATTTATCCCTAGAAGTGGAATTGTGGGTTGATGAGAATTTGCTTAACTGCTCAGGTGGGAAGATACGAACGTAGCCCTTGATGTGAGTCAGGTTCCTTTTGTGGAGCTCTGAGAGTCATACTTGTGACTGATAGTCTCATCACAGTTAGGCCTTGAAATGAAATCACAGTTCAAACAAGAACACACAGTTTGTTCTCTCTGCCATCTGTCGTTTCTCCCTCAGTTTCCCTCCCTCCCAGTATATAGGCAAAAGAGAAGTCTTCCCATTTGCCTTTCTGATTTATTTTCAGAGAATGTGGAAGTCTTGGTTGCCCATCGTTCGCTCTGACGTCATGTAGAGAGGATACGTGAGACCCCTGTAGACTTCCGGTAGATGTTCCGGTAGATGTCCGGTAGATGTCACACCGTGTGACGGTGTCTGTGAGCCCTGGCCTTTCCTGTGTTGGCTTCCTTCTTCTGAAGTAACAGCTTAGAGTTCTGCTTCTTAGGGTTACTGCAAGTTTACAGAATTATTTGTGTTTATAAAAATAAATGCTTTTGTAGAAATTTCAAACTATACGGAAAATATATAATATAGACAATTAAAGCTCTCTTACGGCGGGGAGAGTATAGCTCAGTGGTAGAGTGCGTTCTTAGCGTGCCCGAGGTCCTGGGTTCAATCCCCAGTTACCTCCTCTAAAAATAGATAAACAGACTTAATCCCCCCCTGCCAAATAATGCATATGTGAATAGTGAAAAATACCCCGTGTCTCCCAAGTTAACCGCCGTTATGTTAATTTTCTGAGTGTCTGTTAGTCCTTATAAACTTACTGTGCTTTTTTTTTTAATGGTGGTATAATATAGGTGTTTCATAGTTTAAGCGTTTCTAAACAGTGCTGCAGTGAACCTCTTTGAAGGGAATTTGCTAGGTCAAATGGTACCTAGATTTTTCTGTGTTTCTTCTAAGGAGTTGTATGAGTGTGCCTGTTTTCCAAAACCTCCCTAGAACTTGAGTATATATATTTTTTTCTCTCAAGAATTTTTTTCAAAAAATTATTTTTAATTGTGGTGGAATACAACATAAAATTTACCATCTTAACCATTTTTAAGTGTACAGTTCAGTTGTATTAATTACATTCACACCAGCCTCCAGAACTCTTTTCATCTTGCAAAACTGAAACTCTGTTCCCATTAAAGAACAGTTCTGCATCACCCCTTCCCCAGCGTCTGGCACCCACCATTCTGCTTTCCCACTCAGTGAGTTTGACCCCTCTAGGTGCTTTGTGTAAGTGGGGTTGTAGAGGATTTGCTTTTTGTGACTGGTTTGTTTCACTTAGCAAAATGTCCTCAAGACTCGTCCATGTTGTAGTGTGTGTCGGAATTTCCTCATTTTTATGGCTGAACAATATTCCATTGTATGGATATACTAGACCATATTTTGTCTGTCCATTCATCTGTTGATGGACACTTGGGTTG